TTGTCTCTTATTGTTTGCTGTCTTTTTTAAATTTGAAGTTGGTTTTAAATGTTAAGAGATTGATTTTATATTTTTATTATATGGTGATATTGAGTTATTGAGGTTATTGTATATGTCAAATATCTTTCTACTAATGGGTTTGCAACTGGCATGAATTGACTACCTTTATGGGTTCAAGTTGAAAGGAATGGTGTCCTTCGAACAAGTGTATTATTACGATAGAGGGTTCGGAATTAATTAGGAAACTAATTATTCAGTGAGGTCAATTGATCGGAATGCCTAGTTGGAGGCCGCTTCCGATCAGTAATATTAATGTATAATTAATATTACAGCTTAATCTTGACTAAACCCTTCGGATCACACCCAATCGTGTAATCGAACCGAAGCGACGAATTAATCCGAAGGATTAAATGAGTCAATAGAGTTTTTACGAAAAAAGACGTCGGATTCCGAGCTTAGAGCGTCGATGTCGAGCGTCGTAAGTCGAGTCGAATTTAGGAATCAACGAGACGGAAAATTCAACCAAACAACAAGTCACAACATATAGCCCTAGCCTCGGAATGGCCGAGCCATCCGAGGGACTAGGGCTATATGGCTAGCAAAGCTGCTAGCCATGTGCGTTTTACTTGTTTGGTTTGAGTGCTTAATAATATATCCCCTGCTTCTATATGTTTTAGATTTTTTTTTATATTAGTTTTAGGCTTTTAATTTTCGCTGCTTTAATTACTTTGATGTTATATGGGTAATATCATTTGATTTTATACTGTTAGAATCTTTTTGGTTTGATGTTTTGAAGTCTTTTGTAGTGATTCACATTGAATTGTTAGCAACTGTAATATATCTGTACAAAATCTATTCATATAATTCAATTAAGGTGTCTATTAAACATGTATCCAAGGTCTTAGGCTTATTTGTTGGGGTGGGGGTTTTAGATGACTGAAAAACTGAATATTATTGATGAATTTAGGCCTTTAAATAGGCTACAGCTATGCGAGAAAAACGTATAAAACAAAGCTAAGAAATTGCATAAAACTTCAAGGAAAACAGCCCTTGCTAGCAGAACATGCTTATCAGATTTTCCAGCTGTACCACTTGACAAAAATTGACTTAAAACCCTAAAAAAATTTTTTAGTCAATTTTTCTGATATTTTTCCTTAGCACTAGATATCCTATTCTAACTACTGCAACTAGAATCGCCTTAAAATTCGAATCCAATTGGTTGCAGTTTATTCTTGCATTCTGACCCACCCTTAGAACTCAAAAATTGACTTTTACATATATCCTTGTATATGAAGCCCCTGGAATTTATGGCTTATCTTTTGTTGTCTGGTATAATTTTATAAAACTCTTAAAAAAGTGAACCTTATAGGGACCTAAGCAATATAATCTCATTCTAAGCTACACAATCTTTACCAACTTCACTTATATATATCTCATATGCAGCTGCATATTTTGATGTATGTAGTTTTCCTCTGGTCTGAAATTTTGTTCTTTGATTTGGTAAAACATATTGAGTTATAGCAATCAAGTGGCAGACCCACATGTAGTCATTGTGGGTCCTAGGACACTATTTTTTCTGTAAAAAAAAAAAAACAAAAAAAATTCATTCCTGATGTTGTTTGCTTTTTTTCCCTTTAGATCTATTTCACGGTACTCCTTCCTCTCTCTCTCCTCCATTGAAGCGTACTCGAAATTCTCCGGTGAAGGGGCTTCTGATCTTTCTCTCCTCCATTGAAGCAGTCTCAAAGGTTAGATGCTTCTTTTTCTTTAATCATCTAATATTAATTTTGACAATCTAGTTTAAATCGTGTATTTAATTGTCAGTATATACTCAATTTAGGGTTCTTCGAAGTTGGATAATTGAACTATTGGTTATAGATACTCGAAGAAATTTAACGTAATTTTTTGGAATCTAGTTTGATAATTGAGTCAATTTTGGTTGCTAATGTGTTGCAGGGTTTGGTTTGTCAAGCGTACTCGAAATTCTCCATTGAAGCGGTTTCTGACTTTCTGAGCTTTCTCTCCTCCATTGAAGCAGTCTCTAAGGTTAGATGCTTCTTTTTCTTTAATCATCTAATACTACGTATTAATTTTGACAATCTAGTCTTAATCGTGTATTTAATTGTTAGTATATACTCAATTTAGGGTTCTTCGAAGTTGGATAATTGAACTATTGGTTATAGATACTCGAAGAATTTAACGTAATTTTTGGAGTCTAGTTTGATAATTGAGTCAATTTTGGTTGCTAATGTGTAATGTGTTGCAGGAGAGTGGTTTCGGTGGTGGTGCAGGGAAGGGGGTGGCTGTTTCGGTGGTGGTGCAGGGGGAGGGGGTGGCTGTCGGGGCTTGGCTGGGGAGTGGCTGTCGGGCTGGGTGGGGAATTGTTTAATTAATTTGCATGTTGAGTGAGGAAAATTGAAGCCGTAACTAATTAATATTTAAGCAATTGCAACATGTTTATTGAACCTGAAATTGCTATTATTTTCGACTTTGTTGAATTTGGATTTCTTTTCAAATTGATGTTCATTAATTCTGTTTTTGATTATATGATATTTCTGTGATAGTTGGATTAATAGAAATGTTATGTATTTCCTTCGGCTCAAAATTAAAGGAATTGTGTTGAAATAACAAGCTTTTACATCTTTATCATGTTACAAAGTAGTTTTCTTGTTGGTTATCATGGGAGATCAAATGTTGAATGGATTGTTTGATTACTTATCTAGAAAGAGATTTGTTTTATAATGTTAGCATGGATGATATTGTAAATCGTTATCAAAACATGAAAACTCATCGAGAGCAATTGTAATAAAATTAGTACTTTTTTTAGTTGTAATATGAATTTGCATTACTTTATGAAATGAACTTTTTTATGTATTTTTTTTGTTCATTATACAAGCTTTGACTAGTTTTTGATATTATATGCGGTCGATGGACAATGATGGGACAACCTATAAATCAAATTCTGGATCCGCCACTGGTAGCAATCTAGGATAGTTTTGTTCTACTTGTTTCACTATAAGCATATGCAAACCGTGGATATCATACACTTATCTTTAAACCTTTTTCTTTGATTTTTAAAGAACCTTATTTGCATTAGTTAGCTTACACGTTAATTAATATAGAGAAATGATAGGAGCATTTTCTTAACATAATTTTTCAGTAAAGCAACTATTATAAAATATTCTCTAGTCACTACCCTTTGTTAGGATGACAATCTTTCTTCAGCCTTACCCCCTCCCTCCGCCCCTTACTATGTTAGCAAGTTCCTTGTTTTCTTTTTCCAAATTTACCATTAAGCGCTAGGGTGAGTTTAGCTCACTACTCTTTAATCAAAACTCAAATCATTTCCTGCCTACTCTCTCTCCTCTCTTTGATTATATATTACAATTCCCAAAGGTGATTCCCCGGGCTTGTCTTTTAGTGTCCAACTGGTGTCCGCTTCCCTTGCTCCACTAAGGTGTGTGTTGCGGTTGCTGTGTCTTGCTGGGGTTGGTAGCTGCTGCACCTTTTCTTGCTCATCTTTCTTTTGTCTTCTAACTAATTGCCTAAATAACCAGTGTCAAATTCTATGCCAATCTTATTGAAAAATTTGTTCATTTTTTTCTGACACTTATCTTTAGTTCTATTTAGGATGAGTTTTTGAGTTTAACCTCGTGTTTCAAAGCTATTCTTGTGGTGTGGTGCTTTTTAGAGCTTGTTCAAAGCCATTCTTGTGATTTTCTGAATGCTTGATATAGTTGTAGCCCCTGTAGGTTTTTGTGTTATTTGTTTTTTTTTTTTTTTTTTTTTTTTTTTTTTTTTTTTTTTTACCTGAGATGTTATATAAAGGGTCTCTGAACTATATTTGTGCAATGTCTGGTTGTATGCTGGTATTAGACATTATTTATGTGTTCATGTAACAAACTAGACTATTACTCACCATAAAACAAGACAAGCAATAAAAATGCAAACTTTAAAGAAATAAGAAACTAAGGAAGAAGGGATGGATTTCATTCCAGCGAAAACGCCTACTACAAGGGTGACTTCAGGCCACCAGTCTCTAAGGCTGTGACTTGGTGGGCTGTGATGTGCTACTGCTGCTGTTCATTCTTCCTTTATGAGATCAGTCTACGTGGCCTTATGCTCTGTTATTAGACATTACTTTTTACTTATAGGGTCTCTGAACTATCCTTTATTCTATAATGAACTGCTACTGCTTTTACTCGATTTCTCACAACTAAAGCAAGAGCAAAATAAATCAGAAATAACAGTAAAGTAAATGTGGGAAGTTGGGTTGCTTTTTGTAAGATAAATAAAAAATAACAGTAAAGAAAATAAGGGAAGTTGGGCTGCTTTTTGTAAAATAAATCAGAAAGAACAGTAAAGGATACAATTACCACATAATACCTAACTAAGCCAATCCCAAATCCCCCTTTTTATATGAACACAGCTCATTACATTCAGCAAAAAAGGCCAGCTAGGCTAACACAAAAGGCCAAGGTCTGGCACAGATTATTTTTGTATAATATGCTATTTTGAGTTACAATTTTAAACTTTACATGTTAGTTATGTGTAGCGTACATATACTTGAAGACCTGAGTTCGATGCTGAGGCTAGGAAAGACTTTGACAAAAAAGCTGGGGACCGACTTAGGGGTACATTGAACCAAGTTTTCAAACTGCCTATCCATCAGGAAGTTAATGTGGTTAATGTAGGAAGTTAATGTGGTTAATGTGCGAGCTGAATTCATAAATAAGCGTAAGCATCCAGATTTTTTGAAACGTTCTAAGCAAGCCAAACTTAATCCGTCTTAAATACACTTTGTTGATCTATGATACATCTAAGTTTTAATATGAAGAATTGGATAGTGCCACAAAATTTACTAGATTGAGGGATCTTACATGGATCAATTGATGTCATGATGCGTGTGATATCTTCCCTCGGTAGACTATTTGTTACTAATAAACTAAAATATTTAAACAAGTGCTTAATGGTATATTTGTTCTTTTAATATTGTCTTCTACTGCAGCAGCAGCACATACTATGTATGAATGTGAATGTATTTTCATTTTATATTAATGCTAACTCAGATCTTATATATGAATGTGAACCACATGTTTTTACTTTATTTGTGTCATTCTTTGCATAACTATATCTTAGACAACAGTTATATATTTTATTCCACCCTTCCCTTGTGTCAACTTATATATTGTTTTATGTGATATAAAGTGGATAATGATAAGAGTTGGATGCATGTTCAAGGGTTGAAAGGTAGGCTTATCGAAATGGTGTTAAATACTTTCTTGATTTTGCTTTCAAGGACACTAACCCTAGTGCTTGGGATAAAAAGAGGTGTCCTTGTTTGAATTGTCAAAATTACTTTGATCATGACCGAGCGACAATACGTGTTCATCTCCTTCGAGTGATTACAATCCATGAATATTCTATGGAGAGGAACAATCCCTTGACATAGGAGAAATGGGGTGATGAGTTATATGATGAAGATCCTCTTCTATCAGAAGAGATGGCTTCTTTGGTACATGATGCGACAAATGTAGTGCCGGAGGAGCATTTGAATGATGGGGATGAAGGGGATGGAGATTGTTCTAAGATTCTCGATAAATTTCATAGATTGATGAATGATGCAGAAGAGGAGCTATTTTTAGGTTGTCAAACATTTTGAAGGCTTGAATTCATTGTAACTCTCTTACACCTTAAGGTTAGTGGGGGTTGGAGTGAAAAATCATTTAGTGGGCTCCTTAGTGCATTACAAAAGGCCTTTAATTATGACCCAAACTTTCCAAAGAGCTCTTATGAAGCCAAGAAGTACACAAAAGACAAAGACCTTGGGTTGAATTATGCGAAGATTCATGCTTGTGTCAATCATTGCATACTTTATAGAAAAGAGTATGAAAATGCTGATTCATGCCCTATTTGTGAGGAGTCAAGATGGAAGGAAGGTAGCGGTGAATTAGATGATAGTGTTACCTTCTCGTAATCTCAAGGGGCTTCACAAAGAATGCCTAAAGTACCTCGTATGGTTCTTCGCCATTTTCCTTTAGTGCCAAGACTAGGAGCACTGGACTAGAGAAAGGACTAGTTTTCGGCGGCCATCACTTCACCAATAAGCTTCTCTATCTCATCCATTTGAAATTAAGGATATCTATATGGCCTAATATTCACCAGGTTGCTACCCTCTTTGAGAACAATAGCATGCTCTCGGCCTCGGCTTGGTGGTAGTCCCTTAGGACACTTAAATACCTCCGAAAAATCATCAATTGCTGCCCTTAGAAACTCCGGAGCTTCCTCACTCTCCTCCCTTACAACCTCATCTATTTGGTTTAACTCCACTAAAATACCACCTCTCTCTTTGCGCAATGTCTTGATCATTGCCTTTAAGGTAATGCCGGTTCGAGACAAGGAGGGATCAACCTTAATGTGGGCGGTTTGCCCTTTCACCGTGAAGCTCATTTCTTATGTCTTCCAATTTGTGATTACGGCGCCGAGCTTCTCAAGCCATTAAACCCCAAGTATGTTGTCGAAGCTTCCCAATTGAAGAGGGAGGAAATCCTCCATCACAATCACTCCACCCTCTAACTCAAGCCGCACCCGGCGCATTACCCGTGTCCCTTCAGCGCCTCCCCATTTCCCAATGAGACTCCAAAAGTACCGTTCATGAAATGAAATTATGTGTTGCGCCCGGATCGATCATCACCACCACCTCTTCACCATCAATCATACCCTTGATTTCATAGTCTTAGGATTAGTGATGCCGACCAACGAGTTAATTGTAATCTCAACCGGTACCTTCTCCTCCTCAACCAATGGTTAATCCAAGGCCGTGAACTCTTCTTCCTCCACTTTGTCCCCATCTATCCTCTTTTACAAGCAAAACACTAAGTTCCTTCGCCCGACACACATGATTAAACCCCCATCTACCATCACACTTGAAACACAACCCTTTTGCTCTCTTATCTTGTATCTCCCTCTTTATCAACCTTCTTACTTCCCATTAAAACGAAAAGAGTAAGGAGTGGACTTACTGTGAGGTTCAAATGGACCAGCCG